TGGACCAGACAGGTGAGGGTTTCATATACGATGGAATGTTACATTTTATAGTATAAAAAGTGAGCATAAAGTGGTGTTTTTCACATAAATGATCCTATCATCCATTGTTTCCCTGCCCCTGCGCTGTGTCGGCTCATGTTTGACTCAGATCCCACCACTAGGGGTCTCCATATCCACATTAAACAGCAGCTCTGGGGTCCACAGCAGACCTTCCTCAACTGGAAACAAGCTCGGATGTTCTGTTCACATTGAAAATAAACCTCTTCCCACTTGTCATGAAAATGAATCTCCCCGTCTGACAGTGATGTGTTAACATGAGCTGTGTAGAGCAATTACAGGAAACCTACAGCGAGTCTGTTCGTTACGGAAGAGAGAGAGAGAGAGAGAGAGAGAGAGAGAGAGAGAGAGAGAGAGAGAGAGAGAGAGAGAGAGAGAGAGAGAGAGAGAGAGAGAGAGAGAGAGAGAGAGAGAGAGAGAGATGATTTAGAGTGGAAACAACAAAGAAATGTTTTGATTGCTTCTTTTTTGCCATGTTTAATTTTTTTTTGTTAAAATTTGTAAAATTACTATTGAAAGCCGTTCTATTCTATTCTATTCTTTTCTATTATTTTCTATTCTATTCTTATCTAATAAAGAGTCCCAGATGAAAACTGTAATATCCCCTTTGGGACCCTCATCGTGTCTGGTGTGCCTAATAATGAGCTAACATCATTTAAGTGTGTGTGTGTGTGTGTGTGTGTGTGTGTGTGTGTGTGTGTGTGTGTGTGTGTGTGTGTGTGTGTGTGTGTGTGTGTGTGTGTGTGTGTGTGTGTGTGTGTGTGTGTTGTGAGTGTATTTTATTTTAACCTTTTGATGACTGATTACAATAGTTTTCCTGTAAAAGCAACAGTAGGAAGTTTAGAATTCGCATAATCCGTCTCAGTTGTGTCTCTAAATAACAAACCGAAACTCTTTTAAGCGCAGACTGTGCCGTTTTGTGTTTTCAGCCCCTGGCCTCTCCCTCTCTCTCTCTCTCCATGTGTGTGTGTGTGTGTGTGTGTGTGTGTGTGTGTGTGTGTGTGTGTGTGTGTGTGTGTGTGTGTGTGTGTGTGTGTGTGTGTGTGTGTGTGTGTGTGTGTGTGTGTGTGTGTGTCCCTGTTGCAGGCCCCTGCTCTGCGTGGAGCTGCCCTGTCCCTGAGAACCGCGCTGACCGCTGCGCAGGAGGCCAGGGATTCCAACGTCACCTTCAATTAACAAAGAACAATTAACGCGCAGATTACCCCTATTCCTCTCCATTCATCGGGAACGCAGGAAACTTGGCGCACAATGACAAACTTTCTGAACCACGCTCTAATTCGCAGAAAGCGACAACAAAACGAGGACGCTGCAGGGAGAGTTGGGGGTCGGGTGGCAATTCTCTACAATTCAAAGTGTTAGGGAACAAAACACATTTAACTTAAATGGTTATTTTAGGTCCACAATAAAAACGCATGAAAATGGGATTTCTTTTACGCTCCAGTTTTCAAAAATAAATTAAAAATACATAAAAGAAACATCCCGTAAAGTCATTTTTGACCCAGAATCATCTGGATTGTAAATGTCGATGAGCAGGTTGAGGGTGAGGTCAAGTTTTCGATCCAAATCTCTCACTCTGGGCTTCATGGAAACGGTGCGTAAAAGGCGCGTGGACAGAAAGGTGCAGATCAGTTAGCCGGAGGCGGCAACGGTGCTTCACCAAACACGCACAGCATACAGGTGAGTTGTACACCTGGTGGCCTGGGCCCCAACACGGGCAGCGACACAGAGCTGGGGGCTTGTTTTTTTTTACTTCCGTATTTATTTAGCTTTTTATTAAACAATGATCATTTATTGCGTAACGGAGGAAACGTTTGTCTAAAATTGGAAAATGCTATTATTTATTTATTTATTTATTTATTTATTTATTTATTTATTTATTTATTTATTTATTTATGCAAATAAAGTTTACTAAATTAACGTGACTCAGTTAGCAGAGTTGGAGGACATGTGGAATCCACAACACACAATGATGCAGATGTTTTCATCATGGGAATAATGCTTATTATTATTAATATTATCAATATTATTATTATTATTATTATTATTATTATTATTATTATTATTATTATTATTATTAACAGGATTGCCAGTGTTTTATCTTCAGTGTAGTCCACTCAGGGCTTACTGAGCTCAGCTGCTAGTTCAAACACTTTAAAGGTCAAGTAGTTAATTGCTGTAGACCTTCACACGAGCCCGCGTTATTATAATAAATGATTTCCTATAATATTAATCTGCCTCTCAGCTTGGTGTGAGGTCTCCATCTGGGCAGCCAGCCGCCTCACCTGTGTTGTAGCTGGGTATATCCATCCCCATGGCCGGGCTCTTTCGCTTGCGCGGCCTTCCCTTCTGTGCCGTGCCGGCTCCGTTGAAGTACGGCAGCGCGAGGCCGCCGCCCTTGGCGGCGAGCTCGGCGAAGTTGAGTTGCGGGTGGTAGTCCGGGCCCTGCACCAGCGTCTCGAAGTGGAGCCGACAATACACCAGGCTGTCCTTCATGCCGAAGTGGTCGCCAGTCGTCAGGGTCTTGTTGCAGGTGGTGCACGTGAAGCAACTCAGATGGTACACGGAGTCGCGCGCTCGCATCACCATCTCTGAGGCCGAAATCCCGAGGTGGCAGCGCGCGCACCTCTGCACGGAGAACCTTCTGGAACAGACACATTGTCAATAATCCTCATAGATCAATAACACACAACAGACTGGGTGTTTACCAAAACACAACATGCGTCATGGCGCAGAGGTAGGATTTATCTAGCGAAAGGTGTGCGCACGTGACTCAGGTCTGGGTGCACGACTGGGCCACATCTGGCCTGCTAAACAAAAATATCTGTTTTCCCAAATAAGCAATGAAGATGCAGCTGAACATGAATCCACAAAAACATTAAAATTATATTTTAACTGAAAGAACAAAGTAAAAGTTTGGAGATGTTGGACTTTAACATAAGAAGTACCATCATTGGTAGTACTCAGGTAGGAGTTTACGTTCGTGTAAAAACAGAAAAATGTAAAATGCTACATTTACAACATTTAAAAACGTATTACGTCTAGACATTTAAACCCAAGACAGGTAAAAAGGCAGGACGGACGTGACGCATGAACTCAGCATTCCACTATATTTATGTCGATGATTCAACTTCAGACAAAAACAATCCTTTCTCTGTCACTAACGGAAAAACCTCTACAGCTCCCCTGGGTTAGCAAAAACACAAATAAATAAAATAAACGTCTGTTTCATCAGATCTGGAGAAATTATGACCAAAATTCGTATTTATGATGATTATTAATCTTACAACAGTTACAGCCAGACAGATATAATAACCATAAATGTTCTTACCTGTAGTAATCTTCCTTGCAATAAATACTTCCATCCTTAGCAAAACACGTTAGCTCCGACTCCAGCGCTAGTTTACATTCACAGCATTTCAGGCACCGTAGGTGCCACTGTTTGTCCACGGCCAGGAGGTAATATCTGTCCGAAATCTTCCCCCCACAGCCGGCACACAGGGCGGGCTTCTCCGGGCTCATGGAGGGCATGGTCTGGGTCAGAGAGGGAACAGAAAGTAGGGTGAAGGGATAGCTACTTTCCTCTAATGTGTGATTAAAAGTACTATATTAAAAATGACATGAATTCTAAATAATTGGATTAGTCTCTTAGGTGTGGTCGCTGAATTAAGGAATAGAAATAATTTAAAGATATTTTGAAAAACACAAATTTTATGTGCAGTTTAAGAATTATGAATAATAATAATAATCAGAAGAAGAATGTGAATAATAATAAGAATAATCATAAGAATAATAAGAATAATTATAAGAATAATAAGAATAATTATAAGAATAATAACAATCATAAGAATAACAAGAATAAGAATAATCACTTTTTTTGTTTTAATACAGAAAAAAGTTATATTTGCATTATGTTAAGATCTGACATTTGGAACAAATTCTACATTTTTTCTGTAATTTTCGGGAGGAAATTATTTTTAAAAGCCTAAACAATACAATGAAATGTACTTTACAAAAAAAATCTTTTCAGTTAATATTTTCCTCCTTAGGGATAACAGCTCGGCGACAGAACCGAAGACAGCGAGGATTAAAACAGGCTTTTGACCCAAATCTCCGCGGATCTTACCGACTCTCTCCCGTTCAGCTGCATGCCCTTCGCCAGGCGCGACTCCGTTTTCGACCTCCTCTCCATCTCCTCCATGATTCCTTGGATGTGATCCCCGGAGATCCCGTGGAAAAGCATGGCTCCCGGTCCTGGACACAACGTGCAACTGCCTGCCTCAGTCTTGCAGCTCACCACTTCCATATACGTGCGGCGCAGCTCTCAGCGCATCCGAGTGGGCTCTGGCAACAAGAGGCGCACAGGAACAGAAGCAGGAGAGTCAGACCACCTCCTCCACGCAGACTACAGCATGGGTGGGACAGGAGGAGAGGTGGTGGTGCTGCACCAACTCCTTCCTGCTGCCCGGGATTGTCTCTCCTCCAGGGAGGGCAAAAAGAAAAGAAGAAAAAAAAAATCAAAAATCAAAAGTAAATAGTCCAAATGATGCGACAAAAACGGTGTGACTGTAGGATGGAGAGGGGTGAGGGAGGGTGCGTCAGTGCGAGCGCTCTCCAAAAATAATGACACAAAGTTTTTGTGTTTCTTCTTTTTTTGTTGTTGTTCTCTCTCTCTTTCTCTCTTACTCACTCTCTCTTCTCTCTCTCTCCCTTGTTTCCCAGACAGGGAGGGTTCCTCGGTGCTTGGAGGTCAGGTTGGGACTGCCTGGATTTCAGAACCGTGTCCTATTTGTGAAGAGCAGAGCCGGCCCAGTCTGAACAATTTGGTAGGAGGAGTTCCTCTCCCTCACTCCCCCCTCTCTCACCTCTCACTGACTGGCTGTCTCTCTACCTCCCTCTCCCACCATCACCGCTGATTTACTATTCACCAACAAAGAGCTGTCACTCTTAAATAAAAATACAATAATTTATGAAATAAACTCGATGCCGGCATGAGAAGGACCACTTCTGTATGAAACACGTTGCTTTTGTTCTCCATCTTTAAAGAAGCTGCAAATTTGCATACACTCAAATAATAATCTTTTACTTCTGATGTAATAGTTAGTTGTTTTTGTCGTGGGGCGTGATTAAACGATCTGAAAATCATCTGCAGCTGCGGCTTTTATTTAGAAAAATTCTGAAACCTCAGTTTAAGTTGGTCTGAATCAAAGTGTGTGTTGGGGGCGTGGCAGTGATCAGTGACAGGCTAGGAGGAGGGGACCGTTTACATTAAACAAGGATTTATTTTTAAACACAAACAAACTAGAATTTCATTTTAAAATTAATGTCACGTGTTTATTTCTTCTTTTTAAAACAAAATTACAGGAAAATAATATGTGTAAAATAATTGACCGAATAAACCTATTTGAATCTAAAAAAACCCTATAATGTTTATTTGTAGAAATGTTTGAACAGGAATTAGTTTCTTCTTTCAGCTAATGAAGGAGTCAGTGCTTACCTACAAGAATCTCAATCTGACAAACGACATGTTGATTTCCTGTTTCTAGAACAGAAATTTTCAAGTAAAAACGGCATTTTTCAAATAGGATCTCCCAGCTAGTCTGCCCCAGAGGAATCATTATTATTAGAAACGTCTGACCTTATCTCACTAAACGCTACAGAGTGTACAGGACATGCAGAAGAAGCTGCAGTGAAGTTAAGTGTCACGTGTTAAAAACGTAAAAACGCCAAATAAAACTATGACAATGACAATAAAAGGAAGTGGTTTCAGACCGACCACTATTAGAGGCCAGATGTGGAGAAAACTGGCAAAAACGAGGCAGCTCCAAACGCAACACGAGCTTCAGCAGCGAAGATAGAAGAATTAATCATGTTTATGGTCAAAATTCATTTGGTTTGATTTTAGCAAGAAGCTTCGGGGGATCCAGGTGTGGAGGCTTCATCTGAAGAGCATTATCATGTGGGCCACCACCTCAACCCCTCCCCCCTCCACACACACACACACACACACACACACACACACACACACACACACACACACACACACACACACACACACACACACACACACACACACACACACACACACTGGGAAGTTGTGTTGGCTTTAATTGGAGGCCCCTTGACAGCAGCGCTATAAGTCGGAGCTTGAACCCTCCTGGACGGAGGGAGCTGCAGCTGTTCTCCCCCCCAAATAAATAAATAAATAAATAAATAAAGCACGCCGGTAATTTGCTCCCTGTCGGTGTCTCAGCAGCAGCCACAAAGCGGCGAAAGTGGACTCAAAAAAAGGACAAAACGTTTTACCTGGACAAAGACACCACAAGAAGATCGAGCGGAACATCCTCACGGATTATTTTGAGGCACCTGCGTCTTTTTCAGTGTTTGTTTTTATTTCCATTTATTGTCCTGCTTAATAAAAACGCGTTTGTGACCGTTCGCCTCCAACGCTGCGTTTGACTGAGGAGGCATTTTGGCACCAAGGGAACTATCACGCGCTCTTCATTTAGTTTTTTCTTTCTTTATGTAATTATTAACATATTATACCTGCCACTGCCGTGTGCTCGTGACCTCCTTTAAAACTGGTGTTGAATCACTACTTTTACTGCGTTGGTGGACTTTTATTCTAGGGACAACAAAAACCAGCGCATTTATGATCAAAAACAATAAAATGTGGAACGTTTAGTTTGAAGGAAAGTTAAATAATATCAAATCGACATTTTTAAACAGGAAAATGTTTTTATTTCTGGTGCAAAATAAAAATTGTTTTTGATTTAGCTAATTAAATTGTCTAAAATTCATGATTCATGTAAATAGAATATTTTTAGTAGATGTCGAAGTAAATCATGTGGTTAAAACGAGAAGCTAAGTTAGAAAATGCAAATAAAACTGCGTTAAACGATTGAATTAACGAAAAATCAATTATTTAGGTACATAAGTGATGCAGCTGAATAATGTTGCCACAAAAGCATCATTTTTATTCTCACGTGAAGCAGACGCATAAGTTAAAACGCCAGAAAAACACAGGGTAAAATACATGAAACATTTTTAAAGGTCCGACTCATTTGTTTTAAAAATTTCCATCCAATATTAATTTTAATCCATCGATTGCGCGTCTTCAGACGGCCTCACCTTCCATCACTCCTGTTTGACCGGACATCAAAAGTGTCGCCAGCTTCTCCTCCCGCGCTCCTCTTCTCGTTTTTTCTTTTTTTTTTCAACTGCGCCAAAACCCCAAATCCTGCCGTGTGTTATTTTTGCCCCGAGTCTGAATAGTGATAGGAAAGGTCTTACCTGAGGCTGAGCAGCGCGTGAGATCCCTGTGCGGCGCGCAGGCGGAGGAGCTGCGGACTGCACGCACAGAGGAGAGGCTGCTGCCGGTAGATTGGGGGGGGGGGGGGGGGGGGGGGGGGGGGGGGGGGGGCTGTTCCTCGTGTCTGAGCGCACAGCTCCCGTTCGAGCGTCAATTAAAACACAAGACATTTAAATATTCCTCTCCCTCATGCAGGCAGCCCTCAACACAGCACAGCAAACAGGAAAACGGGGAAGTCACGAGCCAATGGCCTACTCGGAAGGGTTAGGAGCTGGGATCTGCTCAGAAAAATAAAAATAAATCAAAAAGGAGGATATGTCTTCACGCTGTTGTTTACTCTTAAATATAATCAAGATACTTTTAGGGATTATAAAGATGCACTCTTCTTATTTAACTGCAGGACTAATGCATAAATATGATCATTTTTGTACTTAAGCACCAAAAAACGGGCAAAATCGTATTTTATTTAATTAAAGACACAAAATCACCGATTTCATTTTCAAGAGAAACGAGGAAGACTGAGGTAAAAATGTCATTGAACTCAGTTTTTTAAATTTTTTTATAGGTGAACAGTCAAACTAGATCAATCAAGCACAGCCGCACACCCTGAAAACATAGACAAGCACCAAACTGAGAAGGTCTCCTGTAAGTGCGCTTTAATTCATGGATTTTTCGCACATGGAGCACGTGGTGCAAAAAAGAAAACAGTGGTTGATCTCCGAAAATTGTTCTGATGTAAAAAAAAAATCCACATACGAAGAAACGAATCAGAATAAAAAAATGTAAAAATAAATAGTCTTTTTCTAATGTGCTTCATTTGGATGCCATTCAGAACTGATGCTTCAAATACTAATTTAGTTTTGTAGAAAAAGGAATAAAAAAACAAAAATCTTTTTCATTCAAGGTTTATTAAATATGACAAATCTTTGTTTTCAAAAGGAGCCTAATTAAATGAAAACCTGTTTCTGTATTTATTTTATTAGAGCTTCACGAAGGCTAAAACAGAAGAATGAATGAAACAGAATAAAGTGCAGGCTGCAACATTAATAAACAAATGAAAGAGCCTGTAGATGAGCAGATTTCAGCTGACAACAAGAGAAGAGAAAACGGTGTTTGTGAGCTCTTGAGCTGGGAGCAAAAGGGTGACAATTAACGACTCCTCTGTGCTGCCTTCATAAATGATCATGTGCCATAGTGCTAACAGTCATTTTGCTTTGCTCCTTCAGCCTGGGTTGACATCACAGTGTATCTCATCAATAATGCAGCAACGCTGAGATCCGTTTCACAGTGAACCACAACACCAGGCGTTCTCCACGCCTGATACCCGGAAAGGAATGCTGTGTTTGTGAGCTCCAGCATGGCGCCAGCCAGGACGACTGCCCGCCTGCCCTCCTGTCCTCCTGGATGCCTGCATGGCTCCTCGGGCTGGATTGCCCCACATCCAGGCTTCATCTGGAGTTCTCATTTCTGGGTCACCTCAAATGACACAGAGGGAACTCTCAGTCACTCCCAGAGCGTGGCCAGAACAGGAGTGGACGTGGAGGCGAGGAGCTGGAGAGAGGAAGGAGGAGGGAAGGCTCTCCCAGGATCCGCCGCGGTGCAGGGAACCACAGGCTAAACACTGACAGAATGAAAGGGGGGGGGGGGGGGGGGGGAGAAGGAGGGAGGAGTGAAGCACTGTAAAGCCTTATAGTCACATGTATTGCAATGAGGGTGGGAGGATGGAGAGACATCCTATTTACAAACACAACTCAGATATTTTTTATTAATATTTAAAAATAAACATAATCCAGATGTGATCAGAATGTCCTCCTATGCCCCGAACAATCTACATTCTTATTTTATACTTAATTTTTAAAACAATTTCATAAAACATTCAGGTATGAATATGCTCAGGAATACATCCAACCTGTCATTCCCATCTCGATCCGGACTCTCGTTCACTCAAACTCCCCGCTTCCTCTACTTTCTCTTCTGTCTATGTCCCCCTCCCACCCCCACCCCATCTCTCCATCCTTTTCCCCTCCCTCCCTCCGATCTCCTCCCTGCTCTGCTCTGCTGGAGCTCAAATCACAACCCCAGTCCCTGGCAGATGGAGGATAGGAGAGAGAAGCTCTTAACTAGCCAGCCTGAGCCTCTGCTCTCTGCACACCAACTGCTGCCTGCCTCCCCTCCCTGCCTCCAGAGCTGCTCCAACAGCACGCCGTCACCATCACACAAACACAGCCGCTCCGCTCTGACTCCTCTGGGGACGCGCTGCCCCCCTGGGGGACGGTGCGCGTATTAGTCCACATCTGGCCACACTAAAAAGGGACATGGAGACATGATAGATGGATGTCCTCTGTCATAATACAACCTCACAGGTCCGGGGCGGCGTGTCGGTGGAAATGCGTGATTTTATTAAGGGCTAAAGAAAGCTAAAGCTGGAACGGCTAAAGAAAGCAACCATGTTGTCTGGGTAAGTGTGACAACAAATCACAGATATGACTGCTAGGATGTGGAAACGAGGGGGTAAGAAACAGGCCGAAGAACCTCCTTGGGCTCTTAGGTGTCTTTGACTTTCATCTGGGCTCATCTGGCGACCGCCACTCGGCCTGGCATGAGCCTGACCACCAGTTGCGTTCTGAGGGAGAAAGCACTCCTCTGTGCTATTTGCAGCCCTGTCTGTCCAAAGGAATCTGGTGCGCTGACTGTCACTCAGAGGCCATGTGTGTTTTTTATCACTAATTCTACCACAGGGATGCGGTTGTCCATATGACCACTGTGGAGGCTGCTGCCCTGAGGCGAGCTGACATTGTCTGTGTAGAAGGACCAGACGTTGATGTAGGGGTTGCTCAAATGCTGCTTCAATATCAAGACGAGCGCACACGCAGCCGCGCGTGCGTGCGCGCGCACAGAGCCCGGCCAGTTGCTGAGACTGATGTTCCTTTCAGCCATCATAAGGCTGACACTCAAGTTTTCTTCTTTTTTTTTTCTTCTTCCTGCCAAGCCCTGTGTCAGTTCCTGGCTGGTCTGGCCAACAGTGATGGAGACATTTTAACTGACTGTGGTTGGGGCCTTTAGCCGCGGGCTTGCTGTGGCTGCGTGTGAGACGGTGGGGGTTGCTTGGCCTGTCAACTGGTTGCGACTAGAGCCTGTCTGGTCACAGATCCAATCTGGACAGCTCCCTCTTTCTCCGCGGCTACAGCGGCAGCATCCTGTAGAAAAAGGCACGCGCTGTATAGCTGCCACTCTGCTCCAGTGCAGCATATGCTCTGGCTGAGGGTCAGAGCTGTTCAGTCCAAAATGCCTGAAATAAACACCTCACGTGTCTAACTGGCAGTTGCAGCTTATCGGCGCACATCTGGGAAAACTAGAGCCTGCATGTGTGCAAGTGTGCTTACATTTGCTTCCACTTAAAGATTAAGAGTTTATCTTTAATAGCTGAAAGTAGCAAACCTACTGATTCGTGTTAGAGGTAATAGTGGGACAAATATGGGCCACAAAGTATCAAAAATGAGTTTTAATTGATTAGAAATGAGCAGAGTTGACTCATCAGATGCATCGGGCGGTTTCCATGTCCTCGCTGGAGTTAATGTTAGGAATAAATTAAGAAGATTCCCCCAGGTATCTGCAAGGGGGGACTCCTGCTGCTTGTGTCTCAGTCACCAACTGCTAAGTTAGAAGATGATGGGGGGGAAAATTCAAACTGTGCCATCCCTGGATCAGGAAGACGCGGAGGAAAGAGGCAGACATGCAAGTTGGCCTATTTCATGGTCAGGCTGCGGGACCGCTGAGGCCCTGAATGGCAACGCGTCTACTTTAATGTGACAGACAAGTCCCTAGGCAAAAACCTGCAGAGCCGCGGCAGGCAAACAGGCCCAGGTACTTGATGAGTGTGACACCTTCACCGTCCCGCTGTAGAAATGTTGCTGCCGCACGCTTCGCTGCCTCGTTTTAGAATAACACCAAATAAATTCGCCTCTCATCCCGCCTGACGAAGCGTCCCCAGAACCTGTCCTCCCCAGCACTGTTGGGATCATGAATCTCCTTGTAGCCGCTCACAGGGCTTTGCTCCGATCACTAAGCACTTTGCCTTTGGGACCCACCTGCCGAGGAAAATTGTGGCCGCGCCAGTGGGCGGCTGCGACAGGAGTCGGCGGCAGACACATCCTCTCATCACGATGCTGTTTGCCCAATCAGGCGGAGACAGGAGAGTGTGTGTGGCAGCTTCAGAGAGAGTGCCTGAAGGCATCGCGCTGCCTTCCCACATGCACTCCCAAATCAAGCAGGCACATCTTTCCCTAACGTCTCCTGCACGCACAGGTAGTGCTGCATGAGCACTTGACCTTACCTAGTGCTATTACTGTGGGCTACAACGTGTGGCGTTAAGCGCAACCTTTCTTCTATATTGGCCTATTAGGAGCCACAGGGCGCTCCGATGGAGCGAGCCTGTACTATGCATGTGTGAGTCTGAGCATGCTGGAGAACATGTGCGGATCTATTGCAGTCCTGGGATAAGAAGGCCCAGGAGTTCATTAGGCTGCAGCTCAGGGGAGCGGCTGCGAGGAGCTGCACCGTAGCCAAGTGTTGCCAGGGGGCTGAGCTGCAGGTCCGGTGGGGAGGGCGGCTGTTGATGTCCACGGCGTGTTTGCTAACAGCCTGATTCCATCAAGTGGTGTAAAAGCAGCGCAGCCAAGTGCGAGGGCTGACCCTTGCCCCTCCTTCTATTTTTAACAACACAGCGTATCAGTCAGAGGTAGACACTTCAGTCAGGCACTTGTGGAGTGCAAATGATGCTAATATTCATGCAGCCGTACGTTTGGGAGAGAAAAAATAGCGAGACATGCAAAGCAAAAGAGCACAAGACTCCATCTGACTATCCTCAGTTACTTTCGCTTATGTGCCCTTTATCTCGAGGGCGAAGATCTAAAATGCACTCAGTTTTCATCTCCATACTCCCACAACCCTTGTAAATGCATCTGAAGAGTGGAATACTACAAAATATTTAATACTCTTGAAGAGACGTGAAAAACGGAGCTTCAGGCGTTTCAGTGGACATTTGAAAAGAAAGGAAAATTGTGCAGAAAATATAGCAAACCAAGAAGTGCGATAAGAGACTGTTTTATATAAGAGTCGAGTGAACAAATCCTTTCTTCCCAATCCATGTTTCATGACAATAAAAAACATTCCTGAGAATGGTTGTGATTCATGAGAGGTAGGCGTTGCACAGACGCTACCCATATTTCATCATTTATTACACAGCAAAAAAAATGACTCAAGTAGACAAAATAACGACAGGCAGGAGACGAGCCAGGAGCGCTGGGCTCCATTCCAAACAGGCATTTAACATTTTACCTTTGTGGGCTCCGGGGCTACACGTAAAACAGGGAGTTGAAGCGCTTCTTCATCGCAGGGTCCTTCACGTTGACGTGGCCATATGGACACTGGAGGAGAGAATGAAGTTAATGAATGATGTTCGTTTGCTTCGAGTGGAGCAGCGCTTTATCACTTTACTCACACAGATAACGAGACATGAGCAAAAATAATTTGATGTAAGATGAGAGTAATGAAACGCGCAAAGGGACGACGCCATAGCAGCTGTGGGTTTTAGTGCTCCTTGGCCAGTGCTTCCTCCAGTTTTCCTGATCCTCTCATCTGGGGACCATCTGAGATTATATGAGATTATCTCAGCTGTATGTACTCAGTAATCGGGTCTCCCAGTGCATAAAGTCCTCATATTTGCAGTCTCATTGGCAGATCCTTGGTGCCTGTTATTGGCAGTGGTTTTCTGTTACTGGTGTTCAGCTTAAAACAGCCTATTCGATTAAAACAGGTCCACTGAGAAACCATTTTTAATTATTATTTTTGAAAATGATCAGTCACTCTGAGTTTTTCATGCAGGCCGAACATGAGAATGACACCCTACATCTATCTCCTGCAATAGCTTCTGAAAGAAAATAGACGGTGAAACTCTAGGATTTGAGAAGCCTGACAGATCTGCGTCACACTGTCACTTAATAGTCATGGACTCACCTAGTTTGACTCGCGACGGTGAAGGATGTTGTTGGTTTAGCATCCAGGAAACTGCACAGGAAGTCTAAACTAGTAGAAGCTAGCCATTAGCATTAGCAACTCCACCACACAGCAGAACTCCTCCAGGCTTTTGCTAATTGTGGAGGTAAAACATCAGCGTTGAAGAGCAAACAGAGTGAGTGGTAGAGTAGTGTTGCTGTTAGCCAATCAGAGGTGAGATGTCTAACTATCAAATAAGACTCCAAATCCTGCCGTCTGACTGAAACACGCTCATCAGAGCTTTTTTCCTGCAGAGTACAACTTACAAGGTATTCATTCCTACTAGAGACCACTGCAAATGTATAAAATATGTAAGTGAGGACTTCTTTAAGCAGTGGCGTCACTTACTTATCTGTTTAAATCAAATCAAATCAAACTTTATTTATATAACACTTTTCATGCATATGTAAGGTTATGAAGTTCATGGTTTTCAACTCCATACAGCTGCCCCCTGTGCACAATAACACCGTGTAGAAAAACCAAGGTCGGGTGTTCCTCAGACTGTTTACATTCCAGGAGAAGAGTCCGAAGGAGAAGAAGAAGCTTTACTTAATCAAAGTACTTTATTTGTGATTAAAATTATTAAGCAAAACAGATGTTGATCAATAAAAATCAAGTGAATGATCTGTGAAATAAATATGTCATGAGTTATGTTTAATGAAAACAGGACTATTACACAGACAGACTGATCCTCATCTCCATAGAAACGAGACAGAGACACATTGTTCCAACCAATCAGAGCTTTCGGCTGCCGCAGGAGAATCTGGTGTTGACTTCAAGTGTCCAATCCACTTTACTCCAACTTATCAACAATTCAGAGATATAAAACAAGGCAACGCCATTTTAAGTCAGTTCCACTTTGACTTCAGTTCTATTCACCATCATCCTAAAGAAAAGCGCAGCCTGGCCAGATGTGTTTTCTTCTTTAAACTAAGAACTGTGAAACGGGATATTTTCGTCGTTTAACAACCAGACGACGTCCTTTCAAAATAAGAGCACCTGCTGACGCCGACGAACGGTACCGGGGTCGACCCTCCAGACGGGCTTTGAAACGTTGTGATCGCTGCACCGACAGCTCCATCGTACATCCGAGGTCTCCAGACCTGGCATTTCCTGATCTACCTGGGAGACCCCCACTGGGTACGTACACGGCAAAATAGCGGCTCATGTCATCACTTTATAAGCCTCGTGATATCTAGTCATAACAAAGACGACCAGATTCTTTGACGTCAGCCTAGAGAATCTGAACCAGACACACACACACACACACGCACCAACACAACATCTGAATCCATTTTCATTCATCACAGAGTTAGTCCTGGTAGATTGTTTAGAATTTATAATTCAGAAATTAAAGATTCTCAAACGATCCCATCTCTCTCTCTTTTCTTGTCTCAAAGTCAATACAGAGTGTTTAATTAAACTCCCTGATGATAAAAACAGCCTATTCTTCTGTTTATAAAAAAAGAACTACTAACAGTGTATTAAAATACAACTTTAGATAGTTACATCACTTCAATTCCGTTACACATAGGATGCAACACAAAGTGCTTAACAGATTAAAATGACCCATATAACCCACATTCCCTCCCTTTCCCACACTTAAAACAATTGTGATAGTTTCACCCCCAATCCACACACCATTCCCAGGCACACACACACGCACACACACACAAGCACTCGTCCACATAACACATTAAAAGACCACAGTAAACACTAGGCTGAGCTCAGATTGGACATGTAATGAAAGACACGCCATCAAGGGAGCCATCTGCCTCGACAGCAGCAGATCGACGGCAGCAGCCAAGACACCAATCCAGGGCGCCCTGGGAGGGAGGGTGGCAACAACCCCCACCACTACCTGGGCACTACCCTAGGAGCGCCCTAGCCGCCGCCACCAACCACCGGTCCCGAGGCAGAGGGCTCCACAGAGGAAACACTGGAAGGATTAAAATACGTAACATGTAAAATAACAAGAACTAATATGGAAATTATCTAAAATGTATGGTGTAAAATATCCAATAAAATGTGATTAAACAAATAAAACAACATAAATAAAACTATAGACACATTATTGTGTGTGTGTGTGTGTGTGTGCGTGTGTGCGAGCGTGCGTGTGTGTGTGCCTGCTCTGTCTTCTCGATCCCCAGTGAGTCGTGGAGGATGGCTGCTTATACTGAGCCAGGATTCTCTGGAGGTTTCTTCCTGTTAAAAGGGAGTTTTCCTCTCCACTGTCGCTGCATGCTTGCTTAGTATGAGGATTGTTGTAAAGTCACTGACACTAGTCAGTGACTTGATGCAATTTGCTGGGTTCCTTATATAGGAAACATTATTTCTGATTGGCTTAATGAAATGTGAATTGGAATGTTTATTATGTGAAGTGCCTTGAGACGACTCTTGTCGTGATTTGGCGCTATATAAATAAACTTGAATTGAATTGAATTAAATGTGTAACAAAACAGTAATTACAAATAAATAAATAAGTAAAACAAGCAATGCAATAAATACTAATCAGTTAAAAGCTAAACTAAAAAGGTGGGTCTTGAGCCTGATCTTAAAAACATGAACATTCTCTGCGACCCTGAGATCCCCGGTTTATAGCCCAAACTTGTCAGCTAACGGAGGTAAAAACAAATCAATACTCTGTGTTTAGAAAAGAACCAAACAACAAACTTTAACGTGATTATAGAACAGATCCATGCTTGAGCAAAAATATTTTCCAAACTTCCGGCACCTTTTACAAATTTCAAAAGCAAAGTTTGATCTTATTTCTATTGTTGAAACAATTAATTATTTCATTAATGTTACTTCCAGGCATGAGTTAACATTTTATACTGATGAAATAATTGCAATTTGGCACATAATAAATAAATAAATAAATAAATAAAAGTTTCAGGCCTAAAAGGCTTAATTGTACAAAATCAGGTCAAATCCACTAAAAACCTGATATTAACAATAAAGATGAGTAAATCTTCAGTTGATACATTTTCTTGCTATGCTTTAACCCAATAGTTCTTTCCTAATCACCTTTTTGAGTAAAAATACAATTTTATGTGCAACAAAGCATGTTTCCTTTGGCATTTCTCAATGAATTAAGAATGAAATGAAACTGTGATTCTTTGTTGAACTATTCTGACACACCACTGATTTACACCTTGAGATGAGTGGCTCGTGTAAAGGGAAAGTTAGAAAAGAAGTGAATGCCAACAGTTGGGTCTGAGCAGACACTTATTTTTGCAGCAGATTAAGCAAATTAAAGTAGTGCGAATGAAAACACGTAAAGAGAACCAATCTCTGGGATCACCAGAGTCTGTTTTTAGTCTTTCATCAGCTGTTCTGTTGCAGTTTTACTGCCTTTAAACATGAAATTTGAATAAAAACAGGTGTCTTTTAAAACAGTACTTTCTTAAGTAATTGTTATCTGTAACACTGATAATTAGATAAAATAATATAAAGCAAAAGTTGAAGCCAAATCTAAATAAGCTCCCTCTAGTGGCTGATTGCAGTATGAGTGTTAAACCCCGCCCCTTCTATAAGAGCTAATGGGATATTATCCTGAATATAAAAAAAATGAAATCAAACTCTCAGGCAAAGATTTTCCTGGAGTTGACTTCTGTTGATTTACGTGCATCTCACCTTTCTACTGTATGTTCAAAAATTCCATTTCTCACTTTTTTGAGTTATATTTCCAATGTTGAAACTTCAAGGTAAATTTTGGGAGGGGGAAACTGACCGGGAGATACGATGTCCCGGTCCTCTCAGCTGCTGTGTCTACATACAATATCTCTTGCCTCCTCCTAAAAAGCATGATCCATTTCCTCACTTTCTTCTGGTGAAGGAGGTGCAGAGAAATCCTCCAGACTAGGAAGCGTGCTGCCATTTCTCCATCGTAGTGGATTGTGTGTCTGTGTAGCGCTTTGATTCTCTGACAGTGCTGCACACTCAGTCTGTCAGGCAACAACTCCTTTTGGCACATTTTTGAAACTAGAAAGGTGGGTGGAAGGAGACGCTGGTATGAGGGGGTGATTTGCCCTTCAAAAAAGCATGATTGTGTGCAGGTGAGTAGGCGGGACTCCCAGCTCCCTACCTTGAGTGTGCAAACTCTGGTCCCTGAAGGGGCAGCTTTACTATTCTTTAGTAAAAAGTACTGTATGAATAAATGTGGACGATCTGCACTTGGTGGACCCGTCCAATCCTCTTCACACCATTTAAATGAATGAGAGCAGACAGAACCTCCCAGTACAGTTCAGAACTCCTCCAGCTGCATCTGTCGTCTGTCACATGATCAATAAACACTAATGACTTAGTGTCACTGGAAGCCCAGTGAGCCCACAGCATCACACTGACTCTGTTGTGGTTCAGAGACCCCTCAGTAACTTTGTAATCACTTCATCTTAATCTTGTACAAAAAACTTCTGCTTTTTTAGGAATAACTTTTGAAATTTGAGGAATATTTAGGAGATTTTTTTTCTAAAGTTTTCAGCATAAAGCACCATTTATTAAATGCTCTTCTCAACTGAGCTCAACAATCACAAAAAGGCTGAAAGAACAGAACAAAACTCAACAAAACACAGCAGAATCCCTTCAGAACAAACAGCTCAGGTGGGATGAAGGAGACAGAACGTGCACGGGAAAAACGGTGACACAAAGGGTGACACGAGCTGGTAACAAAAAGAAGAGACAAAGGAGCTCACGTGTCTGCACGCGCTGCCGCAGCATTTCCCTCTCTGGAGGTGGGCATACTCTGTGAACACCTTATACCCACTGGAAGGGTCGACGTACATCTGCTCCTTCGCCTGGGCATGATGGGAGAAATGATTATTTAATTAGTGCGACAAACAAACACGCAGGCTGGTGTGTGACCCCCGCACACACACCCATATACGGTACATTTAGTCACAAATACAGCGTGTAAGCACCAATGGTGGATATGACTACGAGCGTGCAGACAGATTGCTTCGGGTCAAGGTAAAGAGGGAATAAATGACCTCCATTCACAAAAACAGATGCGAGACAGTCGAATTCTCATGATGTGGCTTAATTAATTCTTTTAGTAGGTGAGAATCTGCAATGATTAATCAAGTGTAGCAGCTCAGTAATCATTTTTGAAGGCCTTGTTTTCAGATTAATTGTTCATCTTGAACCACACACACACACACACACACACACACACACACACACACACACACACACACACACAAACAGCTCCTGTAAACACACTGAGCTCCTCCTTTAGGAAGTTAGAAAACGTCATCTCTCAGTCTGTTTCAGCCTGAGACTGCACTAGTTGGTGAGCTTTGACAGCTCACAAAGCCAAAAGGCCCCGGGGTCTTTCAGTGACACGGCCTGTCATTTCACATGGCATTGCAGGGCCACATAGTGAAGCTGGCAGTGCCGGGCCCCCTCCGGATCGCGCTTTTACCACCCAGCCAGGCCCTACCACTCTCCTCAGGTCGAGGCCAACGCGCCTCAACTTCATCCTCACTCAGGAGCGCAATATTTACAACAGATTAGCCTAAAGGCACGCAGGCGACACCTTTTCACCACTGTCATCAGCACACGGCTCACCGGCTCTGTGTGATGGAGGAGACATAAGAGCTGGTGAATATGATGGACACGAGTAAAAAATAACAGGAAATTATCACACAAACCAGCCGGGAATCAGCAACAACAATAAAACACTTGCACTAAAGTTGTACTTTTTCTAAAGATAAATAGCAGCAAACTCCTTGTAAACAACGTGCAAAAATATAAAAATGACACAAGAAAACAATGCAATAAAAGATGTTAAATGTTGGGAACAGACATATTTTGTAACTTCTTCAACAAACATATTTTTTAATAATTCAGAAATGATCTGGATTGGGGAACTCAGAGGGCAGCTGGAGTCACATTGATTGTGTTCCTGTAACGTAGCGATCTTCGGGGAAAACGTGTTCTGGTCGTGGCACTAATGAGGATGTTCCTTTGATGTATACCACCCACCTAAGCATTGTTGTAGACCAGACACAGACCCGCCCTCCCACGGTAATAACATTCACCGGTGGCTACTCCCAGCAGGACAATGAACCTTATCACTCTGCAGAAAACGCTCAGAGAACACCTGAGCTACGGGACAAAGGTGTTCACCCGGGCTGCAGGGTGAACACAACCTGCATATCATTATAATGTGGCCAACAAAGAGCAGGATCTAATAAAACTCTGAGATGCTGTTTTTGGCTAAAACCTGCAGCTTTAGAGCCACATGCGGCTCCTTGGTCCTTCTGCAGTGACTCAGTTTAACAAAAATAACACAGAAATGAATTTTGTCCATCTTTATGTTCACCTAAAGTCATTTTCACTGTTTTCTGTATAGACATATCTGTCTCTCTCTCTCTCTGTCTCTAGTTTTCTATCCATCAACTATACAAAATTGAGATAATAAGTTCAGTTTAATAGTAGAATAAAATCCACATTAATCCATGGAACGGTTTAACTAAATAGCTGATGGGACATCAACAGTACTTTTCTTGCATTTAACAGAATATTGTGAGAATTTTGAATAGCTCATTTTACAAAAATATACTCTTATGCTGATTTTAAGAAACAAAAGTTTGGTTTTCACTAAAGCTTCTAACAAAGGTAAAATAAATCTCTGAATAAATTCATTCAGTCGGAATTAAATACCCAACAAACTGAACTATATCTGGGACAGGAGGTAGAGCTCGTTGTCCAGTGATCAGAAGGTTGCAGGTTCGATCCCGGCTCTGACCAGAGAATGCTGCTGTTGTGTCCTTGGGCAAGACACTTAAACTGCCTTGCCTACTGGTGGTGGTCGGAGGGACCGGTGGTGTCAGCATCTGGCAGGCCTCGCCTCTATCAGTGTGCCCCAGGACAGCTGTGGCTACATTGTAGCTCATCACCACTAGCGTGTGAATGGCTGATTGTGTTGTAAAGTGCCTTGGGGGGTTAAAGAACCCTAAAAAGGCGCTATACAAATACAGGCCATTTAAACCATTTATTATGTAGATATATGTAGATTAAGTAGATATATGCTTTATTATTTCTGAGTTGGATACGGTTTTATAAAAAAATAAAGAATTCTCACACAGGCTCAGCAGAAATGTGGTTTTTGGTCCTATCATGAAAATAACATCAAATGCTGCAACTGACCTTTTATTATAGTTCCCAGTTTCATTGTTTCTATGCAGCACTTCATGAGTTGTTATCTTTATTTCAAACGTCAAGTGAAACGTGTTACTCTCAACAAACTGTACTGTGGAAAAGGTAAAAAAATACTTTATTAGTAAAAGTTTCAGGTCTCGTGTTGGTATTTATAGTATAAATAGAATACCTACAATGTATGCAGCCATTTAACACAAAATGGTGTGTGTGCGCGTGCGTTTGTGTGTGTGTGTGTGCGTGCGTGTGTTTGTGTGTGTGTGTGTGTGCGTTACGGCTGCCGTAAATGACTATTTTAATAATCGACTAATCTTGTTTTGCTGACGATTAGTCGACTAATCGTGTCATTCATAAAAGTTTAGCTTATTGCACCAGGATGCACTAATATACCCATCATTAGCTTCTAGTCTGAAGTCTGATCAGTTATGTGCCATCTAATAATGAAGACAAGATGATAGCTGATCAAACAACTTTTAATTATCTTTATAGCCTGTTAATGCAAATGCTAAAGTCGAATGGAGGTAGGCACCTAAAACCAAAAATGACTTGTGCTCGCAAGAGGCATGGTGTCAAGGTTGAATGAAGCGCTTCATCTTCCAATCTTAACTCAGGAAATGGGAGGACGCACCATGGTTTACTTCTGTGAGCGGGGTCCGGGGGCCACAAAGAGGGGGCCCGCAGGCCGCCTATTGAGTACCGCTGTTTTAAGATGCTCGTGCACCACCGATGTGCTCCCATGAAAGGAGAGTTTCACTTTGCAGAGTTTGAACACTACGTGCCTTTCTTTTGTCTTTGTATAATGCTCCCAAACTTCTGAACTACATTACCGACTCGCCATGTTTTCTTTCTCCAGTGACGAATGCTGATCTGGGTGGCCACTAGTGCACGTGCGCCTCGGAGCTAAAGCGGCGGCTGAGGAGAAAGGCAGGAAGCAACTGCCGAACGTGCTGCAGCAGGCCAGATAAAAAACAAAGGTTCATCAAATAAACGACGCGTTGACTATTAAATTAATAGTCGACTATTTTATTTGTCGACGTTGTCGTGACGAGTTGACTAATCGTGGCAGCCCTAGTGTGCGTGCGTGTGTGCTCCGTCTCCACAAACCCCCAGTGAGTCATGGTGGACGGCTGCTCATACTGATCCAGGCTCTGATGCAGGTTTCCTCTCCACTGTCGCTACATGCTTGCTTAGTATGAGGACTGCTGTAAAGTCTGACTCAACAAGTCAGTGACTCAATGCAATCTGTTGGGCTTCCTTACATAGGAAACTTTTTACTAACTGACATAATGAACTGAACTCAATGCACTGATAGGTAGTTTCAATTGGAAAGTATACTTTGTGAAGCGCCTTGAGACGACTCTTGTTGTGTTTGGTGCTCAATTAACACAAGACTCAAACTGAACTGACGTCATGTGTTTAGTTTAATAACTGTGGACAGACTATTGGTGAGTAACATCATAATTATATTGTATTCTTAAGTTCTTCTATAGTTTTAAATGAGGTGGGTTATAGTTTGGGTGTGGTCAGGTAATTATTAATTTCCTTGAACCATCACCAAACTTATTATTACTGTTGAATAAAACTTAATGCTGATAAAATTTCAGTTGTTTTCACTAATTTTGAACAGAAGTTATAGCTAATAAAACATGTAAACACTTGACTGTGTTAAATCCCATCGACTCAGGTGATTAAAGGAACTAATTATAATAAAACGTGAATGTGACGCGTATAGGATATTACCTGACACGCCTCCTCATGCTTTCTGTGGATGATCATCTCTTCTTCTGTGATCTTCTCCTGGAGTTTCGCCACGAGGTCGCAGGAACTTGCAGAACCATGCAGCTCCGACTCGCTCTCGCCCAACAGACTCGGTACCGACATCGTTACGACTCGTTTACTAACCTGAACGCGACGGAGGGGCGTGAATTTTCTCAGAAATGCTTTATGAAACATGCTCTGCTGCTCCTCAGCTGATTCCTGTAATAAACTCTGAGTCTGAGCTGCATGGTAACCGGGTGCCTCCTCCCGGTTTTTGCTGCTCAGTAGTGAAGTTTCCTACTTCCTGATCATCTGTCACGTGACCACCTCCTGACTGTTCTGCACAGCGCCTCTGCTGTTCCGCAGCTGCTACTCTCATGGATCACTGCTGCAAAGAGAAAAACATAATGAAACAGTAATAAGTGTTGCATTGTTACTTATTAATATAATGCACTTATTAAAGTTAAGAGGGTTATAATTTAACCTTCATATGGTGCATTTGGAGTTTAATTAGGTTTAATTAACCCAGATTTTCTCAAAAGCTTACATGTTCTATATTAAAATTGACTGATGGCAAAGAGATATTCAGAGAATTGCTTCGCATCTACTTTAGCTCATGCAATGAACAGTTTTCAATTAAACTACTTTCTAAAAAGAAGCAGCAAAACCAGGGGCGGATTTGGGACTGAAGAAGATCCGGGGCCTAACACACACGCGCGCGCGCGCACACACACACACACACACACACACACGACACGCACTAGTCAACATCATATATGTCTTGTACCACATAATTTTTAATCTGAAGCTACATATTGAACATTTTCAGGGCAGAGTATTGTTCCTGTTAGTGTTTAGTGTGAGATGATAGTAAATATTCCCTTTCTTTCTCCATCAACTTTACCTGATAAGCTAACTTTAGGCAAACCAGCAGCACAACAAATATTTTCAAATAAGACTCACAAACCTGAGTCAACACCAGTCTCATCAAAGCTGGGGTTCTGTCGTTGTACTTTTGGTCTAAAAAACGTCCTTATGTCCATCTTCACTCATGCATTTCAGGCAGAGTGTAGAAGAAGCCGGCTGCTGAAGGGCTTCTTCTTCAGTGGTGGAGGCTCAGGCAGGCTGTATTAAAAACTACTGCCAGCTGCTCCCTCTCTGTTGGACTTTGGTACTGCATGTTACTTCCGCGATTTAGATCCGGGGCTTTTCATAAAACATCCGGGGCTTCAGCCCAAGTAGCCGGGCCTAACGCCGCCCCTGAGCAAAACCAGGAATCTGCAGACAGACTCTTCTTTGCACCTTTAACATCCCTGTTTTGAACATTTTGTCAACCCTGTCGCTCTGTTTGTGCGTCGAGGTTAACTCAGACTTCCCAAAAAGCCATCTCTAGCTCCTTCCAGCTGCACAAAGGCGTTGTCTTCCCATAATATCAAAGCAGCGCGTTGTCTTGGACCAGGCCCTGCAAGGTTGATGAAGTGGACATTAATGAGTCCTTCCAAGGTTATCTGCTGCTGTAAGCCACCACTGATTGCATTTCTACTCACAACTGGGGCTAATGAGACCTGACAAGTGTCTTTTGACTGACATTGTGCGGTCAATTCACCTTCAGACAAATTATACATCACGGGGACAAAAATTGCATCCATATTAGCATAAAGCCTATTAAAAATGGATTTGCTTGCATGTTTTTTAAGGCTGGTTATTTTTCCTTAAAAGCAGAATTCTTGAACATTCTATCTTGGAGTTCTGCAGCTCTCATAAATATTTTTTTCTCTCAAAATCAACCTAAATTATGCAAAATTGGTTTAGAACACTTTGACGATGCAATTCTACTACAGGACGTCATCTTTAAGTTGCATTAGATCCGTTGTGGTGCATTTTCATTTGAGAGGCGATTGTTATTAGTTTTTAATACACTGTTTTGGTTTTTCTTGGACAATTCAACTCATCGTGTTTCATTTTTGGTTATCCTGAGAATTAGTCTAAACAGGACAATTTATTTCCTAAACATACAGTTTCTCGGTTTGCTTTCTCATAATTACAGTAAAACATGAGCAGCTTATATGGTTTTTTATGTTTGTGCGCATTTAATCATTCTTTTCTTGTCCAAATGACAACCAAACAGACCCACCGTTACAATCTCATATGGATGCCTGAAGCAGAGTGCCCCAGTCTGCTGCCACTTCATTACCTTCCAGTGAGCCTGAAGAAATCTGGCTCAGATCCAAACGGACTCTATGGAGAAGAGTGCTGCTGGTTTCAATTTACAATAAGGACAAATGTTGCTGTTGCAAGTATTAAATAGAAAGAACAACAGAAAAGCTGCTACTAAATTGTTAATGATGAATTTTGCTGTCTTCCTGACATCAATTATTTTTTATTTAGTTTTGCACTAATTTTCTGAACAAATTTACATCAGTGACTTTTTGTGGTTTACAGACAAAATTCTGAGTGATGTATACAAACAAATGTTATTTTTGCAACATAAAACAAAATGAAACAGTACAATACAATTTATTTACTGTATGATAAATAACAACACAACATGATGCAATGCATTACAAATTTATACGAGTTGCTGTTATATATTTTGATGCAGTCAACATGGTATTGTACAAAACATTTAATGTTATGCAATTAAACATGATTTGGTACATGGGTTCAACTATCATGAAATGCACTGTGATGTACACAGCCTGGCCAAAAGAAGGTCACAAACTCTAATTCACGCAGAACCGTCCTTAGCTTTGATTGCAACACACATTAATTGTGGCGCTTCTTCAATAACTTTCTACAGTGTCACCAGATGTGTTTTCATCCAGTGTTGCATGCTTCGTCAAGATCTTGCACTGATGATGGTAGAGTCTGACCACTGCACAAAGCCTTCTCCAGCCAGGGGTGGACTGGGACCAAAATTTGGCCCTGGAATTTTCTCTTCAGACCAGCCCACTACGACGTTATCCGCGGACACATAGAAGTTGGCAAATTTGTCAGCGTCTCTTCTCTGTATACTACAAAGGATAGTCATATTCTGTGATAGTTAACAAATAAAGAATGTAAAGTGACTCTCTGAGACATGCTAATGGCTAGCCTCTCCGAAGCTAACGCCAGCCTATCCATGCTAAAGGTCCATCGAGGGGTAAGAAATCCAGCTAGTGGCCAGCCAAGGCATGCTAATGGCTAGCCTCTCCAATGCTAACACCAGCCCGTCCAGGCTAACGCTAGCCTATCCATCCTAATAGACAGCAGAGGGAGTGTTTGAACCAGTCACCAGCCGAGGGCTGGAAATAACAGGAAAACAACAGCAGTATTTTCTGCTGGGATCAAACCTACAACCTACAACCCACTCTGCCGAGCCACTGCTGTCCATACATTTATAAGACATAAACAGAATTTAAATGGTGATTTTTCAAGTCTCCAAAGCAAACAGTGAAAATGTGATGAATAGAAGTAGACAAGATATAAATAGGCAGTGAAGAGAGAGGACAAAATACTGGTACGATATGATGCACCGGATGTCTTTCAAAATGATTTATTACCAGAGTGGTTCAAGATAAAAATGTATTTAACACAACGACAAAAAGCAAATCTTTAAGTAACAAAGTATTTGTACACATGTGAATACAGACTGATGTAAGTGAGACGTGCACTCGTCTGGTTTATGTTTAAACTGGTATAACACCAGCTCTCCTCACGCTTCTTCTGTCCATCACAGCTGGATCTGTGTCACACTGTTGCTGCTGGGGGCACATCGATGGTGGGGGCAGGAGGGAGGAGCAAACACTGCTCACTGATTTTCACCACTCAGCTATATCAGCAGAAAAACATTATGCTTACTGCTAGAATGCTACTGGCTGCTAAAGTAATCGCTGGGCTCTCTGTGGTTTACGTTTATTTGTCGCAATAATCTTGATGAATTATTTGTTAGCTGCAACTGACCTTGCAACGACCTTCTGCCTCCTTTAAGTTGTCCCTTTGATGTGCACTGCATTCTCTAGCGCACAACAGCATGCAGGCTAAAAGCTAAAACCACCCAGGTCACAGGTGCTTCAGTTCCGAAGTGAAAGTTCTGTTTTTATTGGGTGTCATTTTGTGGTGACATCTATATTTACTGGTACATCTCATGAACCTGAAGAAAACAGTTCATTATAATACACAGGAATCTGTCAGACAGAGCGGAAAAGTGACTAATGCAGAAAGCACCTTTGACTGATGGTGGACTGTGTGACCTTTCTTTTAATTAAAACCGAAATAATAAATGTCACAGCCAATGCTGGACCAACAACACTAGTGGCTTTTTATTTTTCTTGCTGTTTTGCGTTGTAGCAGTGTTACGAATCTGCTCTGACCACACATGATCTTATTCAGCTGGAATTCAAAGCAATTAGTCATTTAATTGTAGTTTTCTTGTTTTACATTTGGTCTGTGGTAAAAGAGTCATAAAACTAGGACTATCTGGTAAAAGTGAAACATCTGACTCCTGTAAAAAAAACATTTAGAAATCGTTTTGATGAATTAAGATGAACAGCAATGCAGGAGGAGTGGATGCAATGGTCATAAGCAAATGCTGCTTCACAGATGATGAGCAAACATTTTAGCAACATAAACACAATTATTTTGAAGGCTCTCATGATAAATTAGGCAACTTTTGTCCAGTAAGGATTTCAGGAAAAGATATGGATTCCAGCTGCATGACCAGTGACAGAAGACATTTTCAGAAAGTTTTTGCACATGAAAATACTAACAAATAAACTACTAATCTAGTTGGAATTACTGAAATTCTATGGAATAATGAATGAATAAACATTTTCAAGAGATACTTCCTAAATTCAAGGGGAGAATATATAATTTGAGCATTTTTTTGGGAAACCAGTCAATTTATTTTGTCCATGTTTCTGTATTACTTAGAAATTACTTTTTTAAAAGTCTGAATGACTTCCTTTTAACCTATGTTTACCTTTTTAATGACTGCTATGTTGGTGCAATAAGATTTCCACCTGTATTCATTTGAATTTTATCTTTTCAAACAGACTCTGTGTACATCCCACTCATATTCATATCCCTATGCTGTTTATATTGTTCTGAATGAGTAAAGCACTGCATGTAATTTACTTGAATGTGTTTTAATTACAAGCCATTCATTCATTCATTCATTCATTCATTCATTCATGCATGAATACACATGATGCCTAAAATGAATAATAACAAACTACAATGCACCTGTTTGTCTTGATTGATTTTATTTTAAATAGTACAAGGAACATTTTCTTCTGAGATGTAGTTTACTAGCCAGGCAAGCCAGACTAAATAAATGTATTATTGCAAAGCAAGAATTTGGTCTACTTCACTAGGCTAGCAGTTTACACTTCTAATTGGGAAATACACTAAAAGTGTATGTAGGTTTTGTGTGTGTGTGTGTGTGTTCTTGTACTGTACTGCACTCTACAATGTGAGGACATTTTTTTTAGAAACTTACCAGTTGGTTTTAGAGGTATGGTGTGAATTTTGTTTTAGGGTTAGGGATAAATCAGCATTGATTATAGTTAGGGTATGGGTTATGCATAGTGGAGTCACAAAAATGAATGGAAGTCAATGGAGGGTCCTCACTATGATAGGAAGACGGACGTGTGTGTGTGTATGTGTATTCAGCACCTGAGGTAAATAGGAATCCCCTTGTTGCACTCTGGCAGCCTCCGTTGCAGCCGCCACAACTGAGCTAATAACGCAGCAGCGTCAGAAGGAAGCCCCTTTTAATCAGAAGCAGCGTGAATCACACGGTCCAGGTCTAAAGTGTGTGTGTGTGTGTGTGTGTGTGTGTGTGTGTGTGTGTGTGTGTGTGTGTGTGTGTGTGTGTGTGTGTGTGTGTGTGTGTGTAATTGGAAGCAATGAACCACATGGATCAGGTCTGCAGCAGCCGGACGCTCGCAGGCAGCAAGGTGCTCATCTGACGCGCTGACGTCACCAAATCTTTGACAGCACTTCCTGGAGTGGTGTTTGTTGTGGGAAACAGCCACGGTGGTGCTGAATTGAGGGAATTTAGGCCACATAAACGGCTGGAAAGACGAGACAAACTCCCACCTCCTCCCACCATCAAGCATGTGGTCGCGGCAGCTGCTTTTGACCGATATCAGATAAGATAGAAAGAGGGTTTTCGGCTGAGAAACCGAGGAAGGAGGACGAGGTGGAAAATTTCCCGGACAGACCTCACAGCAGAGCAGAGCCGCCGACAGACAGCACGGCGTTGTCGCGATGTTGTAACTAAACCATGGACAGCAGGATAAAGTAAGACCTTGGAGTTTATTTTCTTTTTTTTTTTTAATAAATATTCAGTCGCTTTGCTACGTTTACCGGTCAGGCTAACGGCTAACGTGCAGCTGACGCGCCGTTAACTCGGAGCTGCGCGTGAGTTGCGGAGGAATGTTTGGCGTAATTTGAGCCATCTCCAGCAGCGGCTTTAACAGCCAGGCCAGCTGGCTCAGCACGCATTTGGGTCAGTCTGTGGCTGTCCAGTAGCTGACCACCAATTAGCCGCTTTAAAATAGGTGAACAACCATTCTGTGGGTCGAGCTAATCCCCTCTGTTTTATCAGAGAACCCAGTCACCCCTCTGCTCCATCGAGCTGCTGCTTTCATTATTGACATTTCCTGTTAATGTGGGTCAGAAGATCACAGAACTACTCTGTTCACGTGGATAAACACATGTTTATATTTGCTAATTTTCCTAAAATGAGTTTGATCCTGTTTTTAAAATCTTTTTTCATTTAGGGAGAACCCAGAAAGAACATTTGATCTGGTTGTACAAGTGGCGTGTCCACCATCTGAAAATGAAGGTATGTGATTTTAATATTTCCATTCTGTGTGCAGAATCACGTGACAGTAAATAACTAATTCATGCTGTTTTGGGGTTTCAAACATTTATGCAAATGAGGAAATCGGCTCACTTTAAGTTATCTGAAAACACATAAATAATCGACAGGCTGAGTTTGGAACAGCGCGTCCCCAAATCCAGACAACAGTCCTTCAGACTGACACTTGAATTTAAAAAATGTTGAAGTACTTCAACACATTCCACAGAGGAATAATTCAATTTGGTGACGTCACACCATTCAAAAGGGGATGAGACGTGAGACGTATGACCCTTAAAACACTTGGACATGAATTCCACCTAACAGCTCAGTCAAAACTCATTCTCTGAACCGTTTCTCCTCAGCAGGGTCACAGGGTTGTTCCTGGGGTTGTTTCCACTAATTCTGACTTTTCATCTTCCACAAGATTATAAAGCAGATGGTAGATGAATGAAGTCTTTAGAAATGGGACCAGTTGTTTTAGGTTATTGTGAGATTTTTGCTAAGTCGATACACTTTAAGATAACAACCAGCGTTTGTAAAAACTGGTTCATCATGTGAGCCCGTTTCTGAGAAATGAGTTTGCAACTTCTGAAACTTGTTTGCTGTAAATTCAAATGTGTTGTGATTTGGCTATGGGCCAGTTAAACACAAAAATCACCTTGTGCATGACACAAAATGTTCATAACCCTTCCACTGTCTTAATGGGTGTGACCCCGCGAGGAAAGTGGACCAATGAGCAGGGTTGATGGTTTATCCCTTGAGGTCCACGTGGCAGGGGTGAGGTGGTGCTCACTCCTCACCCCTGCCACGTGGACCTCAAGGGATAAACCATCAACCCTGCTCAATGGTCAGCTTTCCTCACAGGGTCACACCCATTAGGACAGTGGGAGGGTTATGTTTGTGGGCCATATACAGGTGAAACTCTAAAAATACTCCGAATATGGTGCAAAAGTTCATTTGTGTCAGTAATTCAGCTTAAAATGTGAAACTAATATATGAGACAGACTCATTACATGCAAAGCCAGATATTTCAGTCTTTATTTGTTATATTATGATGATTATGGCTTACAGCTTAAGAAAACAACACATTCAAAATCTCAGACAATTAAAATATTGTGAAAAGGTTCAATATTCTAGACACTCTAATCATCTAATGAATGCAGAACACCTGCAGAGGATTCCTGAGCCTTTAGATGGTCTCTCAGTTTAAAAGAGCTGTCTGGACTTTTGCACCATTTTATAATATTTCAATTTAATACATGTAATAGATACAACTGTTAAAACCAAGCACTTTGTTTCCAGTATTCAGTTTGATAAAGCTGTTTACTTGAGCTGACGAGTGGTGAATTTCTTTGCTCCCATTGTTGCAAAAATGATTGTTTCTACCCAGCCTGTAAATACTATAATTGTTAACTGTGCAGCCAGGGAGCTGTGTGGTTGCTGAATGCACTTGCATTCACTGCATGACTGAACCAGTAGTCATTACGGCGGTTGTATTAGAGTGTGTGTGTGTGAGGTTCAGAGTTTGCTTTGTCTGCAACAGAAGGCTGACACTTGAGTTCTGAGAAAAATAAAAATCCATTTCAAATTTTCCTTTTCTCTTACGCACATTTATTTGATTTACCTGATCGTACATTTTTCCTTGGGGACATTTTTTTCTAAAATCCATGAAATGTGTTGTATTTTTAAAAATGTCAGGTTTGAGTGAGAAACCTGTTTGTCGTACCTTCCAGTTGGTCGTAACTTTTGTGAGAAATGAAGTGTCCACCGAAGAGCAACACCATCCTTAATCATTTTATAAATACAGGAAATGAAGTAACCCTAACATTCCCGTCAATATCCAGTGTTATTCACAAGTCTATATCATGTAAAAACGTTGTGCGTGTGTCTTGCTTTGCCCGCTCACGGCTGAGTTTGAAGAGGTGTTATTGGAGGGTTCGCCCTTGCAGCTGCTGAGCTGACGAGTGAAGGCTGAAAGTTGTCCTTGGATGTAGTTCTCATATTGGCTTTTCAACCAAACTCATAAACTGCTGAATTGCACAGTAATAACTGACTTCCTTCACGTCTGATCTGGGGTCAGACTCATATCCGGTCTCCAGTTCCCTTGAGCAAAGCTGCGGTGCAACATTTGCTCACTTCAGTTTGAACTGAATGCACATATTATTGTTATTTGACCTGAATGTTTTCTCTTCACGCTGTTCGGATTGTTGAAAATAAACCTGTTGAGGAAACTGCTAATCTCTACTTTAGGTTTCTGTCAGGAGGGCCTGAAGGTTGTGGCTGGCTGCTTTTTTAAAAAATAAGCAGTTTCATTTACTCCTATGAGGAATCGGTCACTTCTCCCTAAATCGGATCAGTTTCACTTTCTCTTACTCACTATCAGCGGTGTTTTGTCCCCATTGCAGAAGGAATTTGTCAGAATATTCACTCTGGTACTGGTGGAGGTTTAACACACTCATCTGTGACATGAAGGCCAGACTAAAACATTCTCAACTGCAGCATGAAATCAAGCGCTCTATTCCCCCAACCAGGAGAAAGTGGGCGTTAGTGACCTACGTCAATCGGTTTCTGACAAAAGCTCTGGCGCTTCTCATTTAGGGGGTAGAAGTTTGTCAGATGACCAGGTGGGCTGAGAACGACAGGTTTATGGGTCTTATTAATATTTATAATATGCATGATTCGCCCCTGATTGATAAAGTTTTTTTTATCTACAAATTCAAGTCCGAATGTGTTCTGCCATGTTGTTGAGTTGCTGTTGCTAATAGTTAGCTTCTACTAGCCGAGATTAGGAGGAAACCTCTGTCTGCCTAAAAGGAAGTAAATGCGGAAAAGCTTCCGCTAGGCAAGGTCTCAGCCTTGGCCTCACGCTCAAAATGTCACAGCCTAGAAATCAGAGGGTAGCAAAGTTGCTCAACAGCACTTTTCTGGCTTAAAGCACCCGTCAACTTTAGCTACCTTTGGTTAGCCCAGTTAGCTCATAGCTACATCGGCTCAGAGTTTGATGGATGTCAATCAGCAGCCCTGCTCCCAGATCCATTTTTATATTTTCTGGGAGTAACAGAATGTGTGACACGGCCAAGATGGCAGTGATGGGAACTGCCTTTTGGGCTTCATGCAGCTCTTCAGAAGCCTACCGGTAATAGCGTGGAGGGGCCGTCCATTATACGTACAGTTTATGCCCAAAAAGTTCTCTAATCTGCAAATTTAGTCCAGCATCTGTTGTTGCAAGCCAATGTAGGCAAGTCCATGAATACAAACGTTCCCTGTAAGAAAGAAAGACCACAATCTTTTCTAAAGTGCCTCTCAAGATAAAAATCACAAGGCGCTGTGCCTTAGTAGAAACTGTCTCTGTTTCTGACTCGATCGTTTTCCTACTTCCTCTCTGCAACTAATGCAGGAAATAGAAGCTGAAGAAAATGTTCTCATCCATTCTTTGTGTTTTAAAATGAACAAGTATAACACGATTTCTCAATGAAGACGCTTTTTAAGATTCATCGTGGTTATGGTGAACTTATTTTTTTTAGAAACTTTCATTGTCACTTTGTTAACTGTAACCATCAGTCTTGTATCGTAGCTATTTATAGACAACTCTTTGGTTAATTAAAGGTATAAAAATGAGCAGAAACAGCAATATTTAGCACTTTTGGTACATTCAGGAGTCATGATTATGAGGTAGCACTACATTTTCATAGTGACTGCACCCATACTGTTATCTCATCGGCTCTGTAGCATGCATGTGCTGTTCCTCAGAACAGGGGCTGTTCAGGAAGCTATCTAAAGCGAGGAAGTCAGTGATTATTTATAACTTTTATACAGAAACACTTCTCATAATGACAGAGATCCCTTTATATGTTAGAAGGCCTCAACGAAGAGATTGTTTGCATATTGAATATTTATACACGTCAAGTCACGAGACAGGATTTATCCTGTAGCTTTTTCCTGCACTAAGCTCGAACCGGCGCGGAGCTGAAAGGGTTAATAATGACTCATAATCGACAGGCTTTGATCACGCTGTGAAACCTCCACACAGTCACTCACCACACACTAGTACTGTTTCTCCTACAGTCAAACATAGTCTTGTTGTTAGCCAAAAAGTGCCACTTCATATTCACACGTTATCGTCCCACTCCCTTAGAGAGGCAAATAAACAGTAGGACAGCCATGATGGACTATAATTAAATTGTCATAGCAACGTGATGTAGAAGAATTGAGCCTTTGGAGAAGTGGTGGAAAGGCTTGTAATTCTATCATCTCCCTTCAGGGAACTAAAAGCTTGAGAGGCTGGCAAGGTTCTCTTTGAGTTTGCTGCCTGTGTGCAGAGTTCTGCTGATGCTGGCCCGCTGCACCGTTGTGCCCCTCACCACATCCTTGTCCTGCAGGTTCGAAACTGGATCCATGTGCAGCACTAACGATCAACATTACTACAGTGCAAATGGTAGCTTGGATATGGTTACGCTGCACAGTTTATTCTCCAACATAAATAGCTTCAACTTTTATCAGTATGGTCAACACGCCTGTATATTTCCGGTATGTTTCACACCTTTCTCAGTCACCGAGAAAACGACACCTACATATTTGCAAAGTGGCCTGCAGTAATCTTAGTTTGATTAATAGTTTCACATCAACCTTGTTGAATTAAGGTACAGGACGTTTTATTTTATTTTTTTTCAGAGTTGTAAGACCTTTCCTGGATTTTGCAGGCTTTAAGCTTGACATTTAATTGATTGATTTTTCAGAATTACTTCAAACCTTATTTTGGGGTATGATCTTGTGCATCTGAAGGCTTCGCCTCTATGGCTCAAACTTTCTGTGTACCATAAGGAACTATTCTCTAAGTTTGATGTCTAAATGACACAAGACCTTTATAAAAAGCTCAGTTCTCTGATCATTTGTGGTTTTAACCCTAACCCCCCTACAAACCTAGGTAATCCCAACATTCAGCTTTTTAAAGGTTTCATATCACGCTTTTATAAACCCTTGAG